TACACTGAGGTATTTTGTACCTTTCTAAGTATTTAATTTCTGACCATCACCAGCCATCATTTCCTTAAAATATAATATGTAATGCGTTTTTTACTTATCCTTTTATAATCCATTATAAAAGGATGTTGAATAAAAAGTTGCAATTTTCGGTTAGCCATAGAGTTCCCAATGCTGAACTGAATCCGAACGAACGGAAGAGCCCCGCGGGTAAAGTTGCTACGAACTGGTTACGAACACCCCACCGTGGAGAATCGATTACATGGTTCACTACTTAACACCACTCTGCCTTTGACTCCCACAGCCCTTTTGTCTTTTCGTTTTTGCCCTTTTGGGTCAAAGGACAGGAGTTAGGAGGCTTTGGGTTACAGCACTCTGTGGCCAATGATGGTGGCGCCATTTGGCCAATATTCCTGTTTTATACTCCATCTGACCTTTGACTATTGTTTTTGTCAAGAAATTTATCTTTCGTTGTTCTAGAAACTTCCATAGCAAACCTAACTTTAAAACATTATGCAACTTTTACTTACTAGTCTACTTAATAATCAAATTTCTGATAAAATTGGGCTTGTTAACATTTATTTAATAATTTAACTCAATATGAGGCCTAAATTTATAACGATATGTTTTAGAAAAACGTTAACATTGCATAAAATATTTTGAGCGCCACTTACTAAAGTACAATAAGTTCGTCGATGCTTCGTATCAGAATTGGTTTAAATTTTATCTTTTCTAATTGTTATTCATGAATCAAATAATGCATGTTTAAAAATATAATAGCTATCTGATTTTTCTAAGCACTTTTTATAAATATCCTTGCTATACAACTTAACGCTTTATGTATTATGCATTCATATTCAAAACTGTCTGGATCATGGGTCAATAGTTCATGAGACGTTCCAGCCAGCAACAAGTAGCCCTATGAAGTTCTGTTGCCATTTAAGGGTACGTTAGCAGTTGAATCGTGTTCTGTTTAAAAATGAATTTTTCTGTATAGGTCAAATTCGTTCTTTACATTATTATAATTTTCATTCAGGCCTGTTCTCATTATAAATTTTCTTCAGTGACCATCGTAAATGAAACCCTTAGACGATGCCCATTTACTTGAAAATCAGATATTGAAGGTTATGATTAAAAATTACCATCACATGAGTAGTGAAAAAAAGAATATGTTTTAAGACAACCAATAAAGTTGTACAAGTGTATCAGAATGGCACTCTCAGTGTTCAAATATATACTCAAAATTATTGAGGAGAGAATCACACAACATTCAAATTATTATCCCTCCGTTAAACCTAAATCAAGCATTTGGATGTCAGAAATGGTGCAAAAATAAAACTTATTTGAACGACCAACTAGCTGTCACTTGTTCACGGATAATCTGCAGATGTGGTTGCAGGCAGTAAAAATATTTGAATTATATTCACATTATTTGATTGCTGCGACGAACTCTTCAGAACCTGTTTTCGTCAGAAAACGCATTCACTATAACCGCAAACCTAGGTGTTCTAGCTATAATAAGTTGGTTTCTTCGTTGGCCTTCAAGTTCAACCCATTTTGTTTTTTTGTTTTTTATTACTTTAGCTATTATTATCATAGAACACAACAATAGAAGCAATCTATTTAACAAACACTTAAAAAATACAGTTAATTATAGAATTGATTGAAATTTTAGATAGTCACTTTGCCGATAGTATACACATGCTTAGAAGACATAGAATAATAGTACATTGAATTTAAAATTAAGAACAATTCTGAATATTAGGAAAAGCGATATAGGATATTAGCGATATTAGAAAAAACAAATATTGAAACATCTATGGAAAGGCGTAACATAGAGATTAACGCAAAGGTTGATTAGATAGGGCAGTGTGATGCTGACAGTGGATATGAACTGTTGCATTTGTTTTAGGTATTTAAATTTTTTTTTAACTCATCTAAAAAAAAAATTGATGAAATTATTGTGGACAAAGATATCAGGAATGAAGAGTATAAAATAATAGATATCACTATTTTGAATAACAACGTATAGGCATACCTGAAATTATTGTACATAAAACGCTTTATATGTTTGTACATATGATTATTGTAGGAAAACCTACTGAAGTTGGAGGAAATTCCGAAGTGTTAATGTTTATAAGTACTAAAAACTAGAAATGTTTTTCACGAACGAATGAAAATAGGACTAACATTCTTCCATAAAATTCTAGATATAACATCTTATTATTTTCACATAGTTGATAAAATAAACCACTAATAGATTGCTGTTTGGTTTTTCAAAACCTTTGAAAATGTTTTATCTACCTATGTTTCGTCTGCCTGTACTTTATCTGCCTGTATTAACAAAATTAATATGAAATTAGTTTGCAAGATTATGGGCATTGCTAAAATATTAATGTTATTAACGAAAATTCATGGCCAAACAAAATAGTGTAGAATTAAACGATTTCTCCTTTTTTAAACTATGCTAGAATAATAGTAATTCTAAAAAAAGAACAAAAAAAAAAACTAAGGTGTGCTTTAGACCACACGAAAGAAGTAAAAATATCAACATAGCGACATTAATAATATGAAATATAAATTATAAATAATAGCTCAAATACAAAGGGAATGAAATGCTGAACATTGCCCTTTCAGTGTTGCGCTTTCAGTATGCAGGTCCGATTTTTAATGCCTGAAATATTTTAATTCATATCTTCAATAAAACTCATCATTTGGTTTCAACACTATTTTTCTCCTTTTCGCCTCTATAACACGGCTTCGCGTTAAGATACAATTTTGAATTATAGCTTATTGGAGAGAGAGAATGAAATGCTGAATTATATCCTCGCTTACAGTAGGTAGGCCCAATTTTTAGTTTCTTAGATGTTTTAATCCATATTTAAAACATTTCAATTAATCGACTCCAGCCGACTTGACCCGAGCGTTACACATCGGAATCTGACGGCTCAATCTGATTCACTCTCCACGAAAAATGAGCCAAAATGCGTTACACTTCAAAAATCATATATTGCCCTATAATTTGAGTTTTATTTTAATTTTTACTTAAATTGTCCTGTGTAAAAGTACTTTTGAACTTCATTTGAACATTTTTGTGAAATTATTTGATGTATTGATTACGCTATTACAACGTGATTGTACATTTATGTTGATATGAGGATAAAATTAATACAACTTTTTTTTTAATGAGGAAACTGAATTGCAAACCCTTTGTTACAAAAATAAAGAAAAAAAAATGTTTTAAAATAAACTGGTTAAATATTATCTGCTTTATTTAATAAAATAAGATTTGCTGGTAGATATTGATAAATTCAATTTACAAACGGATTTTGCACCATATTAGAATAGATAGTTGTTTACAAGAGACGAAATTGAATAAGGAGGTCGCTGAGGAAGTCCCAAAGCCAATTTCTCCAACTCCTCGGGGGTTGATCCACTTCCATCAAATATCCTCCTCTTCAGAATATTGGAATCCCTCCTTGCTCTAGTCAGTTTCACTGCCTTTATATTGAAATTGTAAATATTAGGATCTATCATCATTTTGAACCCTCATATGTGTACATATATATATATATATATATATATATAAAACCACAAACCTAGGTGTTCTTGCTATAATAAGTTAGTTTCTTCGTTGGCCTAAGATATATACATATGTCTGTAGCACCAACAGAAAAAAAAGGTAATATATATATATATATATATATATATATATATATATATATATATATATATATATATATATATATGTATGTATGTATGTATATATATATAATCTTCAATATGATCCTTTATTGAAAAAAATAAACAACTGTTTTTAATTATTTAATATAGCTTACAAAACTTCTTTTTTTGTTGTCTTGGGACTCATCAACAGATGTCTTATTTAGCCACTAAATTGTCGCTGCAAAGTGAATAAAAATTGAATCCGAAAAACAAATTAACTTTTAATGTGTAACTCAGTAGTTAAATGAGCCTTTCTAGTTGACCGAATGGCTATCTCCAATTTCAAACTTTTTGAGTAAAGTCAGTTTAGTGGGAAATTTTATATCTTTATTCACAGTTCTATATTTCAATACAACAATCACCTTCTCTAGAATAAACTTACTCACTGCCTATACAAATATTATAATTTTTCCAAATAGAAATATCACTAAACTGACTTTATTCAAAAATGTTGAATTGAAAGACTGATATTATGTTTGCACTTTAATAAGGTAATATTTTAAAACTAAAGTAATATACAAATGCGCTTAAGAAGCTTATATTGGAACATTTATTGTCCGAAAATTGTCCGAATCCACGGGCATTGTGTTTATTTATTGATCGTAGAAAATTAACAACACCATAGCTTACGACTCTATTCTTATATAGATGAAGGTTCTTGGTTATTGCTCTTTCCTCGGATCTTTTACACAAGAAGGCAACGAATCTTGAATGCTCCAAGCATTGGCATGTTGTACTCTGCTCGTTAGGGATTTGTCTATTTGGGTCTACAAAGTTTTAGACTCAAAACCCTATCAGCTTTTCCAGGCTGGAGCGGTTGAGATGAAATTTAAGTATCTCAAACCATGGATCCAGTGCTAACTTCCAATAAACGGCTTGATGGTCCTTACCTTTGTAATCGTACAATCCCACTCGTAGAACTGCTGCCATTATTTCATTGTTTTTTCCCTCTCTACTCTTATCAAGCCCAATGTTGGAACTTTGGAATTTAGACGATGCAGCTTGTTCAAAATTCTAACCATACTTGACTCAACTGGTTTTGATAAGGAAAACTTATTACTCTTTTGGGGGTCGAATAAAGCTACAGATGTTCGATTATTTGTTTGTCTTGTACATACTTAGGGTATCGTTCTGTGATTATGTTAAGTGCCAGTCGTGTCAAGCAAATTGATGGGTAAAAGTATATTTCTTAAACGTTGTATAAGTACCTATAATGTGTGTCGATAATATTACGTACAAATGACAATTTTTTAAAATTATTTTTATTTTGTTTTTAGGTCAGACCTCCTTGTCGTGAGAAACGTAACCCAGAGCAAGAGCCTATGCAACATCAAGATGGTGAGTCACTATAGATTTTCATGTCTAAAATAATTATCATGAAACTTTCATGCAAGTAACCTATGTGTCGGTAGGGCTTGTTAAAAAATAATTAAATAAAAGAATGCCGTTGGTGAAAAAGTAATACTGTATTGAACAAAATAAAAACATGGAGTAATGCTGTTGAGTATAAAATTAATCTGAAAAATTCAAAAACGTCCATTTATTCATTTATATTTTTGTACATATAGTCGATCAATAACAACCATAGAAAAATTGAGAGCATGTTTCCAAAGTTTTTGGTAGTTTTTTTTTATTTGAATACAAATTTATGAAACTCGTCCTTGCTCTGGATCTCATACTAAGTAATTTTAAAATTGTAATATGTTTAAAAACTACAGATAGATAATATTTTATATTTCAATAGTTTAGAATATTATTTGATATCCAGAAAAAGTATGTTTTAGTGTAGTCCGTTATTTTCTAATCAAATAATTAAATTTTTGTGGGTTCCTAATTAATTAATTAAATTAGATGTACCTAATAAAAATAGTATTCTCCAACAGAGTAAATTATATCATAACAATTCTTCAATTATTGTTTTGAATAAAAAATTCATTCATCATGAAGGAATCATTTGAACGATTAAAACCAAATTTTATGATTTGGTAAAGATTTTTAAACGACGCTATTCACTACATCCTTTTATATGTTTTCTTTTTCAATTACTTACCTCCTTGTTTCTAACAAGACACTGAACGTCAAGATCGGTGTGACGAGAAAAGATAAACTGGTGACGAGATTCAGAGCTCCAAAAAATGAAACGTAGTTTCATAGCCTTAAAATGTTGAGTGCCTTCAGAATATTGAAAAAATATTTGTTATGGTTTCATCAATATAATTAATTTTTGGTGTGTAGAATCAAAGAAAATATATAATTATTTTAATGAAAACATCTATAAAGCTAAATTACAAAAAAAATTAACATTTCTAAAAATGAATTAAAGTATCAAGCTACTATTTTTTAACATTGTTATGAATTATTGACGGAAGCCAAACTCGAAATATAAAATAAAGTATTTTCGCAGGATAATAATAAAGCATTTTCATTCGAATGAATAAAATCGTAAAATGGCCAAGAGACCTACTACATCAATAAAAAAAATCAAGCAATTACACCAAGACAATAAAAATACAACAAATTTGCTAGTTGCGCAGCTGCGCAGGTGCAAATTGCATAAAATAAAAAATAAAAAAAAAATAAATAAATAGATTTGCCATAATAAAAGTTAATAATGTTAATATTCAATCATTTCAAAGATAAAAAATATCACTACCTTAAGGACGCCGTTCTCCCTTCAAAGGGGCCTGATTTCGTACTGGTAAAAAGACAATAAAAACGTTTATTTTTTTTGTGGATTGATGGTTGACTGTTGTGAATAATTGAAGAGAAAGATGGTTGGGGTGATCAGTCAAAATAATTATATTTATTTTTATATTTGCCGAGTTCAGGGTTTCATTAGTGCTGGTCAATCGAAGAAGCGTGAAAAGACGATTTTTAACATTTAACTGTCTTTCCACGCTTCTTCGATTGACCTTGCCTTATGAAGGAATGAAGTTCGGGACGAAACGTCGGCAAATAAAAAAATAAATATAATTATTTTGACTGATCACCCCAACCATCTTTCTCTTCAATTATTCACAACAGTCAACCATCAATCCACAAAAAAATAAACGTTTTTATTGTCTTTTTACCAGTACGAAATCAGGCTCCTTTGAAGGGAGAACGGCGTCCTTAAGGTAGTGATATTTTTTATCTTTGAAATGATTGAATATTAACATTATTAACCTCTATTATGGCAAATCTATTTATTTAATTTTTTTTTTTTACGATTTTATTCATTCGAATGAAAATGCTTTATTATTATTCTGCGAAAATACTTTATTTTATATTTTGAGTTATATTTTATAATTCATAACAATGTTAAAAAATAGTAGCTTGATACTTTAATTCATTTTTTGAAGTGTTAATTTTTTTTTTGTAATTTAGCTTTATAGATGTTTTCATTAAAATAATTATATATTTTCTTTGATTCTACACACCAAAAATCAATTATATTGATAAAACCATAACAAATATTTTTTCAATATTCTGAAGGCACTCAACATTTTTAGGCTATGAAACTACGTTTCATTTTTTGGAGCTCTGAATCTCGTCATCAGTTTATCTTTTCTCGTCACACCGATCTTGACGTTCAGTGTCTTGTTAGAAACAAGGAGGTAAGTAATTGAAAAAGAAAACATATAAAAGGATAAAATGAATAGCGTCGTTTAAAAATCTTTACCAAATCATAAAATTTGGTTTTAATCGTTCAAATGATTCCTTCATGATGAATGAATTTTTTATTCAAAACAATAATTGAAAAATTGTTATGATATAATTTACTCTGTTGGAGAATACTATTTTTATTAGGTACATCTAATTTAATTAATTAATTAAGAACCCACAAAAATTTAATTATTTGATTAGAAAATAACGGACTACACCAAAACATACTTTTTCTGGATATCAAATAATATTCTAAACTATTGAAATATAAAATATTATCTATCTGTAGTTTTTAAACATATTACAATTTTAAAATTACTTAGTATGAGATCCAGAGCAAGGACGAGTTTCATAAATTTGTATTCAAATAAAAAAAAAACTACCAAAAACTTTGGAAAACGTCGGCAAATAAAAAAATAAATATAATTATTTATTTTTACTACTTTTTATTTTGACTGATCACCACAACCATCCTTCTCTTCGTTTTTTTTTTTTTTTTCAATTTTGCTAAGACGTACAAATTGTGTAAGTTCCATAATTTTACTCAATCCCATTTTTTATATTCAAATTGCAATCTCGCCGAAAATTACTTTCGGTCATTTTTGAAAGTCGATATTTTAAAAAAGAACAAGGTTTTCAAAATTGAAATTTCTTCAGCAAATAGTACTGTGATAGAAATAAAAACATACTTGAGAATATTTTCATTATTATACTTTTAAAGCGCTAAAAGTATCGTTTTATGTTGGTTTTCATTTATAGTCCTGAATTTTATTTTAAAAGGTGAGCCTCTTTTCATTATCATACTTTTAAACCGACAAAATTCTTGTATTTTATAAACATTCATGATATATACTGCAATTCTCTTCCTTATTTGTGATGTATTGAAAGACAAAAAAATTAGCAAAAATCATTATCATTATTTTAGATTTTATTTTGGTTTGACATCAACAATATTACCAAAGTTTTAGATATTTTCCTAAAACATGTGTTCAGTCCAAAAGAAAATTCATAATAGCCGCCAAGAAAAACGTGAGCCTTAATTTATTTTTTTTTAAATTATAGTTTATAAAATATTTAGTTATAAAATATTTCGCAATATGGTAAGGGTGGTTTCTAATGGACCAACCCATATATATTGTCACTATTATAGATATTATATTATATTTTAAAATAGATAGTATTTTCATATAGTAGGTTACAATTAATTGGACTTATCTGAATCTTGCTTGTGTAAAATCAATATTATTCTGAACATCATCATAAATTGAGATGTTTAGGCCATAATGAGCACTTGGTGGAATCTTGATAACATCCTCCAGATCAGACCAGTCAGCAGATAGAAGGCAGAGTGGCCACTTAGGGCTAATATCTTAAAGAATAGGTCCGGAGAGGATGGGAGTGATACAGAAGGCTGGGACAATGCCCACTCGATGACTGGAGTGGCACTTTATGTTGCCAGGGTGCCTCTGCCAAGCCATCAGTGAGGGGTGGCTCTATATTGGATAATAACTAACTTAACTTGGAATGTTGAGTATTTATCGCTAGCCACTAGAAGTGCAACAATAAAATTAGTATTCACCATGGCAACTTAAGTTTTATCAATTATTTCAAAAATATATTCATATTTACTGCTATATTTTTCCATCATACAGTGAAAGTTCAGTTCTTAAACTTAATGTTTGGTATAAAAATATTAGACTATTTAACCATAAGTAGAAGATTTATTTAACCAGTTTTTATGTTTTTTTTTTTTAAATAAAATTTTAAGTAATGTTATCAAACACTTAAAAAAAAGAGGAAACTTTCAACATAAGCATTTCATTGTTAAGTGTAAACCGTGGCACATGAATAGATTTACTAGTAATCCTTCAACCATTACCTACTAAATAACACTAAAAAAAAAAAAATCAAATAAATGGAATGAATTATTTAACATACATTTATAATCATTTTCATGCATTTATTTTTTAATCAAGCACTATGAATTCATTAGTACAGTAGAAATATGTTGTTAAATTAATGTTATTCTGAAAGATCATAAGCACAACAGTTCATTTCTATAAAACTATCATTATATATTTGGAAGTAGGACACATTAATTAAGGTGTGCTACTGTTAGTATTTGATAAATGGATGAGCATTGAACTTTTTCTGAAACTAAACTTAATTTCAGGAGGATCGGCAGGAGGGGGAGGAGGCACGTAAAGCACTAGAGTGGGAGCTGTCACTGGACAGCAGGGACCTCAGGTCGCATGCTTGGTACCATGGCAGCCTTCCCAGGAGTGTTGCAGAGTCCCTCCTCAACAGAACAGGCCAGTTCCTAGTCCGCGACTGCTCGTCCCAGCCAGGAGCCTATGTCCTTACAACCAGGTCTGAGACAGGGGCTTCCTTGCATTTTGTAATTAATAAGGTGTGTTCATCTATAATATTATAATATTACATTATACATTCATTTTGATCTTTATTTTATTTTTTTTTTTCTTGGCAAACTCTTCATTCAAATACCACACCTCCACCTAATAATGCCCAACCAGAAGGTTATAATAAATCCCGACAAATTATCTATATTCTTAGTTACAAACAAATGACATCTTGTTCTTCGCTATTATTTAATAATATTTTCTATTTTATTTGCTACAGCAGATTCACTGCATAAAATTTAGTCTTCAGAAACAATTTACATAAAATGCAAAGATTACAATTACAAATAAGACTGAGGCATGCTGTTAAATTGAAATTTAATCCCATTAATACAAATTCTTCATTTATGTCAAGAACATAATTATCCATAAATATTTTAATACCCCATTTGTTGTATTCTTGGTTCAAAATTTACTTCCTCATTTATTCCCAATAATTCTCTAAGATGATGTACCTGAGGAAAATCTAACATAGTCTTAATACTGATGCATAGTTTCTTCAAATACTAAGTTCATCTCAGAATCACCATTTTTCTGAATTAATCAATAATAATTTTTTTTTTTTGTTATATACCTGATAGAATTCGGAAAACAAATACATCTTTGATTTTTATATAAAAAAAAACTCTTTGAACTCAAATATGTTTGATTAACAATAAACACAATAAATGGAAATAATTATTTTTTTCATTGTTTTCTTTAGTACCAATTAATTAAATATTGTTATAACATTAAACATACATTTTTCCATTTCAAACTATATGCATGATCTCAAGATATAAAATTTTTTTAGATTATTATAAAGCTTCATTTTTTTGTCTATTTTTGCAGGTTGTAATACAGCCAGATACAGTATATGAAAGAGTTCAGTATCAGTTTGAAGATGAGCCTTTTGACACAGTCCCAGATTTGATCACTTACTATGTAGGAAGTGGAAAACCTGTAACTGCTGCCTCAAAAGCAAGAATACAGTACCCATGCAACAGGTTATACCCTCTCAGCTGGGGCCGATGGGAGCCGTGCGTACCACCAAGGGTGCCAGACAAAAAGAGGAGTCTTTCATTAGCTCCTGAGCCAAGGCTTGCTCTGTCGAGAATCGATGACAGGAGTAATTCTGCCGATGGTGTTATTCAAGATGCAAGATTGGTAAGTTATGGTTTTATTTGTATATATATATTTTGTTTTTTTAAGTATTTTATAAACTATGAAAAGATGTTTATAACATAAGAACTTTTTGATATAGAATAGAAAAAATTAGTTTATTGTGGGACAAAGCTTCCTATGAATAACAGAGTTGTACAGAAAAAAAAATTACATCTGGTCAGAAAATATGTTACATTATATACCTAAATAAATGAAAAAAGAATGTAAGTAAACTAATAGTATATACAAGATGAAACTAAATAAATACATACATTCTAGAGACAAATAATAAAAATAATTAACATGCATGTGCTGTATAACACGTACACACACCAAATACAAAGCTTAAATTAAAAAGAAAAAAGTTTTAGCCGGTATCTGACTGTTTAGACATATATAGTAGCCTGGTTGATGTTCTAATTCATAGCTTTGTATATTATAACAAAACTTATTTGTTGACATCAGACCAAATTAGTGTTGTAGAAGTCTTTTATGCTTATATTCTAACTATTACTAATAACTTTACATGAAATTATCTTAATTTTCGGGATACTTTTTAATAATGTAGATTACCTTTACTTTTTTAAAATTTGGATGTGTACAAAATTTAACAATATGAGAGTTATAATTATCCTTCATTTAGAACTATAAGTGTACCCTATGCTAATTATACCACTTAAAAGAAAGAAAAAATAATAATTGTCAATTTATTTGTTACAGCAAGGTTTTGTGAATCCGAAATTTTCTACACATTCCCTACCGAGAGGTAAATTGAACAGGTTATCCAGAGTAACCTCAGACCCCACCCTCAGTCCAAGCCAAGCTAGGAGGTCCTTCCCAGCTCCACCGCCAAAACCAGCTAGGCCTACAATTCTGGAAGATCATTATTCTACCTGTCAAAGGTGGGTATCATTGCACATAATTAATAAATTTTATTCTTTTTAAAGTGATTCTTTTATAGGTGTGAACAAACAGTAGTAACTTTTTTACATGAATTAAATACATGCAAATAAAACATAAATAAATTGGAACAAAAACTATCAATGTTCAATTTTCATATAGATTTTTCCTTGCTAAAAAGAAACAATGAAAAATTTCATTAGAAGAAAATTAGAGACAGTGGTAATAAGAAAATATATTGCTTTTTTTTTCAAACAATTAATTCGTGAATTCAATTCCTGATCTTTATCCAGAAATAATAATGGCCCTGTATATTTGATTCAACTTCATGTTTTCTTTCTTAATCATATGCATTAATATTAATTTATCCATATTTTTTACTATTACAAAAGTAATGAAGAGAAGAATAGTTGGGATGGTCAGTCAAAAAAGAAGGCAAAAATAAATGATAATATTTATTTTTACACGTTTCTTCTTTTTTGCCTGACCACCCCAACTATTCTTCTCTTCATTATCCACGGCAGTCAACCATTTGCCAATTATTACAAAAGTATTATTGCTTTATATATATTATAAATATCAAAACGCTATTAGAATTTCTTTGTTCTAAATTTTAGCTCCAGATATCACTCCGGGAGTGATTCAGGAAATGGTTCAGGAGATTCATGCCAAAGTTCCGCAGACATATCTGACTCAGCTGTAACATGTGCCTTAACAAGGGGAGGTCATGGAGGAGTCATTGTTAGGTATTCACTTTCGACGACTACCCTAAAGGTGAGCATTAAATTAATATTGGCTTTCTTATAGCATATATATTGTTATTATTGTTCATATACTTATATACAATATCATCTTTAAAAGGAATATAAATTGTAAAATAATGGGTATTTTAATTTGTTTTTCACTATGATCATAATGAATTCAAATGTTTTTCAATGTATAAACATTGAGGTCAATTAAAAATTGATTGTGAAAATACTTTTAAAAGATATATTTTCATACATTAGAATTACAATTAAAAATATTAAATAAACAACATATTTTAAATCTAACTAACTGTAAACCCGTGGCAGTTATTCATGCACATTGGTAATAAGAATTGGTTTTCAAATTTAAGAGTTAAAATAACACCTAAATAATTAAGTATTATTACACTTACAAAGAAACATTGTAGTTTTATATAACATCATAATATCTTAATGGGAGGCATTCAAAACTTCGCTGACTTTTAATTCAAAAGATTGATTTTAGATACTATTTAATATTTATAAAAAGTGTATTTATTTTTGTCATTGCTTAGTTATTTTTATTTATAAAAATTATTTATTTTTCTTATAATTTAAATACTATATTAATTATAATTATATGTTAATTATCACCCTTTTTTATTTTTAGGCTACGGATTATGATTCTGGTCTAGAGGATATTCCACCACCAAATGTTTCACTCGAACTTCCAACAATATTTAATCTAGATGCATTTCAAACAATTCTCCTACCTTTAACTGAAAACAAACCGCTCGACGCCACTGCACTGAAAGGGGTTAGGTCCCTTCTTCAAGACAATGGTTCTCGGGTCATAGCAAACCATCTAACTAGGGCTGACCTCGATTTGATTTTGGAACCCAGAGAGACAGGGGTGTTGGGTGCATCATCTGGTCTCGAATTGGTTGCTTTACCCTTTGGCCATCAAATGAGGCTTGATTTAATTGAAAGGTATAATTAATAAATAGTTTATCTAAGCATTTGTCAATTTTTGTAAATTTTTAAGCATTCCCCAGCTTAAATTGTATAAGGCTGTACCAAAAAAAAAAATCCAGAATTGTCGTACATAGACCTTGATATTAATGCTTCTAATCATTCCCTCTTATAACTATTTCAATGGTTTTAATTTAATTTTAATTAACTAAAAAAAATGGGATTGCTGAAGAATTATTAAAGATGAAATATGAGTCAATATTTAACAATATGAAAGCAATTGGTTCCAGAATAATGAACAAATGATGAATAATAAATTTTTCCTTCTATTGAAATTTATATGATCTCAATTTTTAATTTCATTTGAAAACATTTATGCATCTTTAACTTTTAGGACTATATGTTTGAAGCTGCTTGTTGCTGTTACGATTTTGACTTGCAATGCAGATTCAGAAAGAGCTGAAACTCTCAACAAATGGATACAAGTTGCAATTGACACTAAAACAGCACTTGGGAATCTTTTTGGTTTCAATGCAATAATGATGGGACTTTGTATGCCTCAGGTAAATTATTATTTCATTTTTTTTTTAATATAATTTTGTACTTTATCCACTTCAAATGTGAATGCCTTTAATACTTTTTAATTATATGTTATTATTCAAAAGCTGAAATATATTGTTTATAATTATTTTCACTCAATATTTTTTCCTTTTTCAGATCCAGCGACTAAGTGTTACTTGGCATATATTACGACAAAATTTTACTGATTCAGCATTCAACTTTGAAGCCAAACTACGCCCGACTTTGAAGAACATGAATGAGTGCAACAATCCTCAGGCACCTAATACAACAATTCCTCATCTGTTACCATATTTGCTTCTTATGGACAGGACAACTGAAGACATGATAGGTATTCATTAGATGTTATTATATGCTCATAAACATAGTATCTAAACAAAATTAAATTATTTAAATATTTCATCCTTGTTTTTCAATTCATTAAAAAAAATTACATCATAACTTTTATAATGTCACTAATTTGTGATTTATCCAACATGGTACTGTTTTTCTGGAAAAAAAAATTTATTCAAATAATAAGTCTTTGACATTTTAAGTCTGTTTCTTAATGTCACTAATGTGTAGTTTATACAACATGGCACTGTTTTTCTAGAAAAAAATTTGGTTAAAATAAAAAGTCGTCGGCATCTTAAGTTTGTTTATTAATTATATTTCTTCACTTATAGGCTAAAAAAACTAAATAGCAGTCATATTTTTTATTAAATAATCCAGTTTTATTTTGATGATGCTTTAATCCCAACCTTATAAAGGATGAAAAGAGTTCAACTCAAATCTTTATGCAGCCAATTTATTTAAAAGATATTTCTTCAGTTCTGGCGAATAAGCATTTAAATTGATAATTCTATGTTTTCAAAAGAATAGTTTAAACTTTCAATTATTGTTGAAAATTGTAGGGATCTTGTAATTTTAATTTAAATGTGTCGCAGATTTGTTCCGGTTCAGATACATACATACTCTTTCATGCTAAACTCCAGATCTATCCAAACCCACTTATTTCCTTGTTGATTCCTGACAATCGTTCTACGGGTATTAAAAGAAGATGGCTTTGGGATCTTCTTACTTAGAACTATTTAGGGAGGATAGTATTTCAACAAGTTTGTTCATGTCATTATTGTTGATTTGTTCACATTTACTGGTAGTGCTAATTTAATACAATTGTAAAGTTCAATAAATAAGAGAATAAATTAATTCTCTATCTCTATCAGTTTTATTTCTGGCAAACAATTATAGAAAGTTATGAAATTTAACAATCCAGTAAATTACTGCCGGACGTTTCTTTGTTTTGTTAAGTACCAGAAGTAAATATTATATTGCTTCATTATTATTAACCACCATTACTCATTTGATTGTAGAATATATATATATATATATATATATATATATATATATATATATATATATATATATATATTTTTTTTTTTTTTAATTATTATATTACTAATAAAACTGTTTCTTTAAATAGTAACATTTTTAATACAATATACATTTTTATGTCTTTTAGGAAGTGTCACCAACACAAATCTTGAAGCTATGTGTATTTCAACTTGGGAAACTTCAGCAGATGATCTTGGGTTGACCACCCTCAACAACCACCTAATGGATGCTCGCAAGTTCTTGAAAAATCTGGGCTCTTATAGAAGGAATGCTCAAATCGTTCTAGGAGAAGCAAAAATAGTTGCTCTTCTCGGGGATGTTTTTCGGACCGAATTCCAAATGAAGTTTCTCTGGGGTAGTCGTGGAGCTGGCGTCGGAGCTGGTGAAAGAAGAAATAAGTTTGAGCAGATCCTTTCAGCAATGTCAGAAATGTGCGAAGCTAGATCTCCACCTCCCTCACCGGCTCCTGTTTCCCCCGGACAATACAATCCAATAATTGGAACGAGTGTTTAAAAAGATTCGGATATTGTAAATCCCTTCCGGTATACCTGATTGATATGTTACCTTCTTCACAAGATTGTGGATTGTCACTGTTTCATTTGAAACCGCAAACAATGTGATGTATTAAATATGGTTTTTGTCATTTTGAAGAATTTTTTCAGGAATAAGTTCTTCTAGCATTTTTTCAATGAAAGTATGTACAGTGATATTTGCTAAAATTGTTGTCAAAACATGATGTTATTAGTTCTACTAATTTCAGTTTCAATTAAAAATCAGGATAAGAATTGTCTGGTTGAGGTAATGAAAGAAAAAAATCTTTGGTGCTGCTTCTGTATAAAGCCTACTATTATTTTTTAAAAATTTACTTATCAATTTCTTATCTTATTTCTTCTTATGAATTCATATTTTATATATGATTTCTTTTACAATATTAAAATATTAAAAATACATTCACAAATTTAGCGGTCCAAATTTTGTTAGAAATATTAAAGATTTACATTTGGAAATAGGAAGAAAAAAATATAAGAAAACTAGTTGATCTCTATGAGGCTAACTGAGAATCACTTATTTGTAATAAGATTTTTCAGTTCTTTGTTAAGTTATTTATGGGACCTTCACATGATTGAATTAGTTGTCCTGTCATAGTAATATATAATTTAATCATCATGTCTTATTTCAGACTAGTTCATTGAAAATCTAACATCAACTTAAAATTCAAAAATCCTGAGTCAAATATTCTATTTATAGAACATGATATTAAAAGTATCTTCAGTAAAAAATGTTAAATAGCTGTTGGCTAAATATCAGCATTAAAATAAGAGTGTTAGGAGTTAAATATTCTTGACAAACACCCAATGCTCACAGTCCTTGTCTTCCTCGGACCAAAACTTTATATTCAGCTCTTTTTCTTGGCTTCATCTATTATAAAGATCATTCCAAAATTGTAAGTTGTTAATTATTATTGAAAAGAGACTGAGATTATAGTTTTTATAAAAACATTAAAAATAATATGCAACTAAGTTGCTTATGAAGAAATAAATATTTTAATTAACATAAAAAATGGCAAAAAAGGAAACTCTGTAGCGGTAAACTTGAAAAGTTCATTTAAGTAATCATTGATTAATAACTCTTTTTTTCAGTTTCTTTGTAAGGTTAGTTCATTAATGAAACTGCTAGATAAAGAAAGTAGTTTTAGTATATAGAACATTATCCTGCAACATAGTACCTCAATATCTCAAATTCGACTGTAAATTTTCTTATGAAAACAAAATTTTGTTTTGTTGTATGATTAGAAGTTATTTCTATGAATATTTTATTACTTAAAAGCTTACTTTTAAATCATTTTTTTTTTATATAATCGGTAAAGATTTACTATTGTTGGAAAGCCTATGAATGACATAAGGCATGTGGTGGACAGCTTGGTAAAGCTTTAATTTTTTTTTGTATTATATATCTGTATAACTTATTTTATATTATATTATTATAAATATTTAGATGTGATGTGATAGATTTTGTCAATAAACATTTAACATGATGAGTAGCATCACTACAATTTATTTTATTATATTGTGCCATTATTTTTAGTATATAATATTTAGAGAAACAAAAAAGTACATGAATTTAGGTTGTTTATTTTTTATATTTCATTATAATAACTGATAGTCAAAAAGTTTTCATCGATGTGTTTTTAATTTTTATGTAAATAATCAAATTCCATAAATAATTTTTTATTCAAGTTCCTTTATATTGTGTTTAGAAAAAAAAATGTAAATAGTATATATAGTTGATAGATTTATAAATTATATATATTTTGTTATATGTTTCATTTTATTTTAATAATTATTCATGATTTTAGATTTGCAATTATTGTGATATGAAAATGTTTCTTTTTATGCCGACTTTTTTTTGTCATAGGTTTCATAATATATAAGAATGATTTTAAAAAGGCGTAGAAGAAGTGAAAATTACTAGGTATTGCATTAAATATAAATTGTAGTTATAACATATTTATTGCGTAACCTTCTTTCAAGAAAGTTGTAGATGTTTTCTATAATTTATAAATATATATATTTCTGTTGTATATATAATTATTTTAAACGAAGGTAAAACTGTACATTTATTTTTGAATATACCTCAGAAAAATAGATAAATATCAAAACGATGCACTGCCAAGAGTACTTTGCCTCTGTAAGAACCGAGCTAGCAAAAAATATTAAATGTAACAAGTTAAAGCTTTGCCATAATACATTTTGAAAATGATGCCATTAGATTACTGCTTACATTTTACATTTTTTTAGTATTGTGCTGGCTCTTGCTGCTTTCCAAAGAGTAATGAAGGTGTGTGCAACGAATTAACGTTTGACAATAGATGTAAAACCCATTTTCAAATTTTATACTTTTATTACATTTTCTAAAATTGTTATCTAGAAATAAATTAAGTATAATATATTTTAGTCAGTTATTATTCTTGTTATTCTGTCTTGGAATATTCAGAGTAAAAACTTTGAAAACTTTTTTTTTTACATTTACTTCTTTAACCATGCAGTATATTCAATGTGAAATGTAACTCCAGCACAAACAACGCTCTAAGAGATCCAGAAATTTAAAGATTTCTATTTTTCAAAATTCGGAAGCCCATTTATGTTAATTTTGCAATTTGTATTATTTGGTTATAAATATATACATTAACAATCACAATGGAGTAATTCTAAGATTATAGACCATTTTGAGTAACCAAGTTTAAAAACAAATCAGTCAATAAAACTTACTTATTTATTTATTTTTGTACTGAGAATGGTCCCAATTAAATGTAATTACTTGAACAATAATACTTTTAGAGATAATTATTAAATATTTTTTTCATTAGACATGGTTATATTTTACCATTTTGGGGGGGGAGAGGGACTTCAACCCCAAGAGGGGAAAGCCCTCCCCTCTCCCTCCCCCCATAGATGTATAAACTTTGGTGTGTTTAAACTATAAACTATTAAATATACTTTAAAAACTACTTAATAATAGTCAGCTTTTCTGAGAAAAGTCAAAAGATGGTTCTCCAATGTATGAAAAAAGAATGGAATATACTCAAAAATTAAATTAATGATATGCTACTAGAGACAGTTGTAATCACATTTTCAGGGTTATAACTTTTAAACCTATCTAGTAACAAATATTGATCAACTTCTTTCTAAATTAAAAAAAAGAAGGTATTTTGCATATAATAATGGCCACAACTACAGAAATTGTCTTGTTTTCTTTTGGCACAACTCTATTACTCTTAGAATAACCTAATGATGAATCTAATTAACTGATCTACTTATAAAAAAAGTCATGTAGATTATATTGATTATTTATTCCCAAAAGGAATTCACTTTAATTTCAGCCTGAAAATTTATTAATAAATGAATAAATATACAGAAATGATATTGGATTTCTTGAGGTTGGTTGTATCTGGAGAGTATGTAAGGCAGATGTTACAATTTTTAAAACATAATTATTTTTTACTTTACGTCATGGTTGTTTTCAATTTTGGTTGTGTAATTTGCTCAATATTGATTTGGTTCGACTCTCTGGTTATATTCAAAATATAATGAAATATGCATGAATATATACATCCAAAGCATGCATGTAAATACCTGTAAATTAGTGTGAAACATTTATTAATTAGGAATATTATCGAAAATGTTAAAATAAATAAATAATTTATTTGAATGTATAGTTTATAGATTAGAAATTTTTAAAATGTGTTAACTTTAACCCAGTGTGCTCGAATTGTATTGGAAATTAAATTGTAGTTTTTTTTAAGTTCCTTGTTTTAATTGTGGGACCAAATTTTCAATGAAATCATTATGATTGTAGATTTGTTTACCTAAGTCTTCTGGTCTTGCTTAAGAAAAAAGGTCCATTATTGTGTTTCACATGAATTTTTATTTACAAAAATAAAATAAACATAATATTCAATTCGAGCACTATTTTGCTAGTCTAATACTTTTAAGATTCCTCATACCCCTTCCACATATCATTTTACACACTTCCCTCTATGTACTTTAAGACTTACATGGGTGGTTTGGTGCTAAAAATATAATCTTACAATTTAACAGATGTAAAAGTTGTATTTTTTTTTTCTTTTTACCCCAATCTTATTTAAAAAATATAAATATTGATGCATTATTTAATTTTTGGTACTTCAGAGTATATCAACATTTCGCATTATAATGTATATCCAAAATTTATATTTGCAAAATGGCTATACAAGCGTTTTACTCAGCAGAAACTAAAGTGTCAAATTTACTACCTATGAGCTTTATGAATTTTTGTGTATACAACCTTCATTAAATATGGGATATTTAATAAAATATTATTTAAAAAATAAGTATTATAATTTTTATTTTATTTTATTTCTTTTAGAGTTAAATAAAGTGATAAATTTGGAGACATCTATTAAAATATATAATATAAAAATATAACAGATTTTTGATAAACCTTGATAAAGATTTGAAGGAATAGTACCAGATAATAAAAAAAAGAAAAAAAGAAAAAAAAAAAAAAAAAAAGATTGAGGTTTATGTTAAATTTGTGCTTCTTTACTTAGGCAATACCAGTGATTACATGAAATGATACCATTATATTTCATATTGTTATTGATAACAAACAGAACCAAGTTAAAAAAATCTTTTATATTTATCTGAAGTATGAATTTTTTTTTCACAGTGAATATGATATTTTCAAATGCAAGATAATTTATGTAAAAGAATGTTATAAATTTTCCTTCTTTTTTTTATATCAATAATAAATCTAAAACTAAAAAATAAAATGAAGAAAGTCGCTCAGGTTCAGTTTACATTTCATCAAACCATATTAATCAATATATATTAAAGTTCCTAAGCTCAGTGCTGAGTTAAGAAACTTAAATTTTAATTTAATTAAAGGACAGTTTATCCTTTCATCTAGTTTAAATATATTTAAGTTCCTAAGCTCAGTGCTGAGTTTAGGAACTTAAATATAAACACTCAAAAAGCACAATTGTTTGCTCACCATCTCGAAGAAACATTTAAACCTCATGATGATATAAATGACAAACTATCTACTATAATTGCTAAAAATTACATTAACGTACCAATGCCATTACCACCAAATTCAATTCACCCTTACGAAATTCAAAATTTTATTCAGAGCTTGCCTATGAATAAAGCTCCGGGATATGACTTAATTACGAATTTCATCATTAAAAATTTACCTTGGAAAGCAATCCTTTTTCTAACAAATATATACAATTCTATACTGAGAATCACCCATTTCCCAACTCTTTGGAAATATTCTGAAGTTGTCATGGTATTAAAAAATAACAAATCTTTAGACTCTCAAAATTCCTATCTTCCAATCAGTCTTCTTCCTTGCTTTTCTAAATTATTTGAAAAAATTATTCTTTGTTGTCTCGATTCTCTTGATATCTTTAAATTTATTCCAAATCATCAATTTGGTTTCAGAAAACATCCTTCTACTGTTCAACAATGCCATCGGTTAGTAGATTATATTTCTTATTCTTTAGAATCTAAAAATTATTGTCCTGGAGTTTTTCTTGACATCAGTCAAGCTTTCGATAAAGTTTGGCATGAAGGATTGTTTTCCAAACTTAAAATTTTACTTCCTCCCACCTATTATTTAATACTACTCTCATATTTAACAGACAGACATTTTGTAGTAAAAGTAGGGACAGAATATTCAGACATTAAATCTGTAAGAGCAGGAGTACCTCAATGTACTGTCCTGGGACTAATATTGTTTAATATATATATGTCTGACCTACCGCAACGCAGTGACACTCTACTGGCTACTTTTGCTGATGATACCGCAATCCTCAGTTCAGATAAAAATTCTATCCGAGCATCCACCACTCTTCAAAACTTGAACGATATTTCCGATTGGGCCACAAGGTGGAAAAATAAAATGAATAAAAAAAATGTGTGTACGTAGTATTCACTCTTAATCGTACCCCTTCCCCCGAAATATATTTTAATGACATTTATATTCCTACATCCGAGGTAATTAAATATTTGGGTTTTTACCTTGACAAAAGACTAACTTGGAGGACACACATTAGACAAAAACGTATGGAATCAAACAGAGGATACGGTCTTTTATCTAGGTTACTTGACAGACGTTCAAAATTATCTTTGACTAACAAACTAACACTCTATAAAGTTTTACTAAAACCAATTTGGACTTATGGCATAGAATTGTGGGATTCTGCTAAAACTTCTAATATTAAAAAAATCCAGTCTTTTCAATCCAAAATTTTATGAAGAATAGTTGACGCACCATTTTATGTCGCAAACGATAGATTACATAAAGACTTGAACATCCCAACAATTTCAGACACTGCAAAAAAAACTACAACATTCACCAAAGACTAACTTACAACATAATTCTCTGACAGAAAACCTTAAAAGCACTAGAAACCTAGGTGGTTGCCAAGAGACCTGCTGAACTGAACTATTTCCTGTATTGTAATGGAACGCTGTGAAGCTGCCAAAAAATTTGCTCATTGCAAAGAAATTTGCAGATCGCAATTTTAATTTTTTATGTTATGTATTAATAAAAATAATAAATCAAAACATAAATATTTTTTTTCTTTTTCCTATACAGATAATAATTAACATAATAATTTTTATTAAACCAAAACATAAATAATTTTTTTTTATCGTGTAGCTATACATATTTACTTTTTATGGTACGAGCTAAAACATTTCATCCACAAATCTACTTTATATTTAACACAAATTGTATTTACAGTACTTTTACATGTTTCACTTGCACATCACTTGCACTTGGAAATTGGTTCAACAAAGTGATCCAGTCGATCATACCGAATATGAACATGTGAAGATCTGGAATCAGAAGATGTTGATGGTCCTGGTGACTTAGCAATCGCCTTTTGACAATCATCTTTCTAAATAACATTGAATGACTGCTTGTCTATAATATAAATTTTGACAAAAATGATGACCAGTTTGCCTGTAAATGAGTCATGCATTGTTCATGGTAGCATCAATAACTCATGCAAATAATGGCCACCACCATTTTTTGCCACGAATGCTGATCCTTCTTTGGCTTATGTCTTCATCTATACGATCAGTTCCACCCTTATATTTATTATATTGATTAATCAATATCAGCTGTGGTATTGATATATTTTTTCTAGCTTAGTGGCAGAATCATTTCACCCTGGCCATGGGTTGCAAACCATGGGCTATTGAAACGACAGATACAACATTACTATCTAACCACATGCAAATAAGAATGCTGTCTTCTTTTTCAAGAGCAGCTGTAGCTATTCCGCTATGCGTTTTCTTCATTGCAGCTACATTTTCCAATGGGAAATCTTTAGGAATTCGATTGTCACGTCCCATGGTAACCTCGTTCTTTGAGGCATTTAAAAAGTTCAAACTTGTGAACAAGTTTTCCATACATTTTTTTTTTCTGGTAAATTATCCAAAAATTTAACCGAGGAGCCGCAGCTTTTCCAAAGCTCTCATCATATTTTGGATTTGCTGCCTGAGTCTTTCCCTGGTAAATTTCGAAATCAACCAGATAGCCATTTCTCATTCAGGCACCACACCAAACTGTTTTCTTCCATGACAACTACAATAATTTACCATTGACTCATCGTAATCTAGACTTTCACAAGGAACAAAATATTGTAAAAAATTTTCTTTTATCATATCCATAAATGGACCTAACTTGGTCAGAGGACAGTTGTGATACAGTGTACATGGTAAGTTAAATCTGCATTAAATTTAAATGGTTAAAAGCATTAGTTCTTTAATTAAGAAAATTGGCATTAGTGATCATTAATAACATTCCCTTGATTATATGAATTTTGAAGAAAATATGTCGAGCCAATTCTTTATAATTAGTGTTATAAGATAACCAAGGATATCAGTGCAGTGGTGTTATGAGAGGTGGAGTGGGGATACAGGTGGTTTAGATATTACTGAGTATACACAATAAACAAGGTATCAGTAACTTTATTATTATTAATACTAACAATGAAGGTTAGTGTTGCAATTGACTTAAATAAACTTGATGCGTGAAATAACAGAAATAATTTATTCAACTTCGTATGTTATTTCATTTTGGCTACGTAGGAGTACATAGAATATATTTTATTTATTTATTATAATTGCTGCATGCCTCCTAAATTAGAACAGTCAACAAATACATTCCGTTTGAAAAGAAGTAGTTCTCCTGAGTCCTGTATCAATCCTATTAATAAAAAAAATCCTGTAGAATATAAAAATATGGCATCTGGTAACTCTCAAGACAATTGTCATATAAATATGAACCAGTTAATGGAATGTATGTCTCAATTACTTGATTCCAAGCTTTCACATCTGGCCACCAAAGAAGATATTCTTAACATTTACAATGAAATTAATTTATGAAATAAGAAAACGTACAATTGAAATCCGAGTTACTTGCTATTAAGAAGGCTAATACAAAGACTCAAAATCTTAAACTCAAAGAGTTAGATAATAAAAACTGGAGAAACAACCTAATATTTAAAGGATTGACTTAAAATTCCCAAGATAATAATTTTTGTAAAATTATTTCCGATTTTTGCAGTGAGGTTTTACAAGTTCTATTAGAGCAAGAATTTTTGTATGCTTTCCCTCTGGGACAAGCAACAGCCCTTTATCAATTATTCAAATATATCAAATCAACTGAAAAAGAATTTTAATTACAGAATTATATTTAAAAATCAAGAAAAAAACAAATAGATCTATAAAAAAAAACTTGGTATGGTCTAAAAATAAAACCAGCAGAACCAAAATATAAATAAGTACAATTAATTCAAAATTCAGAATTTAAAAACAAAAGGATTTTGTTTATCAGTGTGTAATCGAGTCTGTCATTCATTGATCAACATGCCAGCTTTTGAAAATATAATCATCATACTCAACATCAAGTGATAATTATACTTATCGTTTCTTTGCCGGTGATGTATAAATTTGGGTATTTTTCCTAATGAGGAAACCACAACTTGATATGATCCCATCTACTTGTCATCTCAAATACTCTTCTTTTAATTCAGGTTTACAATTCGGAGAATGTTGCTTTCGGGCTCTCCTCAATGCTCCTAAAATATGTTTTTTTTTCTTCATTTTTCTGTACTGCTCCCGGATTATCTTTATTTTCTCCTTTATCGATGATTTTATGTAATAGTTTTAGTATTATGCATATCTGCTTCATTTTGCTCTACCTCGTTCCTAGTGTTGTTGGAAATGTAGATTAAATGAAATGAGAACTGAAACAAATTCCAGTGGTGGAACGTTACAACCTGCAGTTGGAATTGCCATCTCTAGCCAAAATTGTTTTACTAGTAGCAAAATTCATGTAGAACCTTCATGCTAACAACTAACTTTTTTTGTGTATGTCAGATGGAACCTTGTCATTCCAGTGGTTCAAAGTACTATTATTATCCTAATTAAAATAAAATTTGTTTTATGCATCTCATTAGACTAGAGCGAACATTTGTTTGAAAATTGTAGCCTACAAGGATACAAGAAATAGCTATGCTTATAATAATGTCTTTTGGTGAAGTTTTTTTTTGTTTTTGAAGTTACAGGAAGATAGGTTTTTAGTTTTTTTGAGATGCAGTATTGCTCAAGTAAATAATTAAATTGTATTACTAACACAATTAATACATCAGTTAATATCCAATGCCACTGGTTCTACTCTCCAATCCACTTTTGCACTCACCCTAAATTGGGTTTATTCTATTTGTAATCTGTAGTAAAGTTGTGTAAATAATTATTTCTACTAACCAGTAACTGTATCATCTTCAGGAGTTTGATAAGAGATCGCTGTAACTGGTCATATGAAATAACCTTTAAACATTTTTAATAAATTAAAAAATTGAGATATTATTCTTTTATCATCTATAATGATCAGTTAAGATATAGTTGGAGATTAATAAAAATAAATATGAAAAAAATAAATATTTTTTTTAATAAAATAAGAGAAAAAATATAATTTAACAGCAATGACTTAAGTTTTATTAAACATTTTGTTTTATATGTCATTGTCTCATAAATATTTCATGTTACAGACATATTTCAGATACTTTATACAGAACAGTTTTCTAAGATTCCTTAAAAATACATAATGGTTCATTAGGTAAATAAACATACATGACTGTGTTTCATAAAAAAATTAAAGCAATTTTATTAACTTAATCTAAAGCAATAACGTTAATATTTACAGGGCATATACAGTATGTTTTGTTATTAAACATATACTACAGTAATGTGTCTATTGCATGTATCACACCATTTGTCGTTGGGATATTTCTTGAGATTACATGAGCGTTGTTCACTTTAACTCGACCTGAAATATAATAAAATAAATTAAATGTTGTTTTTAAACTATAAAGTAATGAACAAATAATTATATTTATTCCAAGAAAATAATAGACAACTTTTCTTTTAAAATTTAAAATGATAAAAATAATATAATTATTATTAAACCGATAAATAAATACTTGTTATCTTTTAAGTAATAAAATTGTTGGCTTAGAGGTAAAAGTGATCAAATGATATTTTTGGAAATAGGGGTATATTTGCTATCTATCAGGACTTACATACAAGCACCAGTACACCTAATGTTCATTTCTGAATGTACAAAATTGTAAAATTATCAATGGGTAGTTTCTCTTCATGTTGTACATGTTATGTCACCGTTATCAGATTTACTTGTATTTGTCATGTAAAAAAGTTGTAAATTTCAATAAATATATTTTAAAAAAAAAATTTGAATCCATTGTAAAACATGGCAGCCTTTGATAATAAATTATAAGTATTACAAATAAGATGAGTTTTCTTAATTAGCTTATATTGTTACCTGCTTCCTTTGACAACTGTATTTGGTTGGGCGCAGACATGCTGTCCCGCAGCTGATAGAAGAGCATACCCGCCGAATAGAGTGTGCCAGGCATGATGTGCCTTAGAGCAAGTGCTCTAGCGTTGCTTCTGCTCTCCAGCAACCTCTCAACTTCACCATCAGCTAATGCAGCATCGGTTGGTGCAAAAACAGTGTATGTCTTTGTTCCTAAATCAAATTTTCATAGTAAATAGAGTGGTTCAAGTATAGAAATAGTATAAGGAAAAAATTTACTACATGCGCCAAAGGTTTATCATATACATAAGATTTTTGAATTAAATTTATAACATCAAAACAAATTTTAATGAATATAAAATATTAGACGGCACAACATAACATTTTAATTTTTATGTTATAAGAGTATTTGTACTGTCAATCTTGACTTGTAGTCAAACATAGTAAAAAATTATTGGTCTACTTCATTTTATCTTTTATTGGTCCAATTCTAAACGGGAAGTTATGTCTATTTTTACTTTTATTCATTGATCTCCATCCATAATGATAATCTGATTTGCAAAAGGTCAAATTGGAAATTCTCCAGAGTTGCCCTTCTACTAGAGTTATAGAGGAGCAGGAAAACAAAATAGTACACCAAGACTTGAATGATGGCAAAAATAAGTTTTTTCAACTTAATGATGATTTTCAAAAATGTTTGTTAAATATTTTAATTTAAAGCACAACAGAAAGACCCGTGGTTATCATAGAATACAGCCATGGAAAGAGTTGAGTAAATATGTTAATTTATATACTCTATTGTAGGGTGTTTGAAAATATTATGTCTCAAACCAAATAGATTTAAATCTCATTTAATAATGTAACTTGTAATTTATTATTGGTGGTTATAAATGTCAAAAACACGAATTGCAACAATCATTTTTGATATTTATGGCTTACTTCACAATTATCCGGCTCACAATTATTATGCTGGTTGAGAGCTTTAGTTCTCCTGCTCATTATTTCTACTCTTTTGAAATCATCCCTTAAATTTAATAGCAACTTATCAAACAAAAAAAATGTGATGATAGTGAAAATTTTAGAACTTATTAGGGCCAGTAAAGGGGCAGGGAATGTAATAGTTTCCATTTGGGCTCCGTCCCACTGTGGTATCCAGGAAAACGAACAGGCAGACGTCTCATCCCAAATCGGTTGACGGATATTAATAAAGAGGTAAAATTTATTGATTATGTTCCTTGGGAGGACTGGGTGAGATAAGTAAAACCTCAGATAATAACTCAATGGAATGAGATTTGGACTCCAAACTTGCTCAGGTACCACATATTCATGGACTGTACACATTACAGGGTTATACGGACGAACCTCAACATGCATGAGACTATCCAGAAGGTTTTGTAGGATGCAGAGAGAGATGTGGAGATCTGGTGAATTTCTGGATTCAACAATAGAATATGGGAAGTGTGAGTGAAGAGAAGATTACCAATGACCCTAGCGGGTAGAGGCAAATAAATAAAGAAATATGTTCAAAGATGAAAAGAAGTTTAAAAAGAAATGAAAAACAAATTAAATGTATTTTTAATAGATATATTTTTATTACAGTCTCACAAAAATTAATTAATTTAAACTTGATAACAATAAAAAACAAAAAAAATGTGTTAATTGAAATGGGTTAAAAATAAACATTTTTTGAATTGCATAAGCAATATTGAAAGTATACACTGATATAAGCTCAGGATGGAAATAAATAAATTTACATCACCTATTTGTTTATTTAGTCAATTATATTTGGGTGCCATGTGCAACTACATAGGTAAGAGGCACCTTAATCGAATACATCAACTAAACGGTCTTTTCTGAAGATTAGGTATCGAGGCCATACCTTCTGCAATGATTTTTTAAACCTAAAGTTGCTAAGTTTGAAATTATAATTTAAACTGCAAAAACTTCAAGGGAACCAGGTGCCCATACCCCCAAGTTTTGTGACCCATGAACCTCACTCCCCCAAGATTTTGTATTGCTCTCTTCTTGTTAACAGTGCAAAGTAAAATTAGAAAATCATAGACCATATACAATTAATCTTGCTGCAGTCTGTTCAATGTTTTCCCTTTGTCCCTTGGTTTGAAATTTTTCATTCCAAAATTCATATTGCTATCAAAAGGTGTCTTTTCGAAAAGTCAAAACCCCATCAATATGTGCACCCTCAAAAATGTTTATTGTACAACTTGTGCCATAAAACCTACTTCGCGGGGTTATAACTACAATTTATATAATTATATTTTTTTTCTAACCCTCCAAAAAGTTTATTTAATTAAATTACATATATAAGTATAACAATCCAATATATACAAATAACAAAGTCCTTCCACTGCCCGATGGCATTTTAAGGATTGGGGATAGGTAAGAGTAACATATGTGGCACAAGGTAATTATATAATTATACTTTCCCATGTACTTTTTTTATAAGAAGATGAGAGCAATAAAATTTCATGTGAGGGTGGAGGCATGTGCCATGAGCTTTTGGTGAGAGGGGATTGGCATTCCTAGACAAAATGTTGTAAGCAACTTGTTAGTTTGTATTTCTAAATATATACGAAGTCAAAATTTATCAAAACAAATATAAACTGTATCTTTTGACGAAATTATTCTCAGAGCAGGCTTTAGCAGCTTGGATGCAAGTGCATTATCACTAATCATACCATGACTGGATCCACTGATAGTTGTTTTAAAGAGGGGAGGGAGATTATCAGGGTGAAAACAGAATTAGGAGAAATATGCCTTGCTTATTGATGAAATTGAAATAAATAAATTAATTAATCGCTAATATAACTAAATATATCATATATAAAGGAATTTAAAATCAATTTTCGAAATCATAGGCAAGGTAATTAATTAATTTCATTGGTCCATCTACAACGATAGATTTCTCATGAGGTAAAGTAATGTTTTCCTATCTGAAGATTGATGGATGATTTATTCAAGGTTATTCACGAGTATTGGTACCAGTAGGTATATTTTAAAAAGTCGTATTATTTTTCTCAAAGGTTATTTTGGTAGGGGAAATTTCCACTTTTCTCCCACCCATGGATCAGACATTGATCCGAAGTTAATGTAATGGTTACTCCGTAACTCTAACGAGAAAATAAAAATTATGTAAGGTTCGCTCTTTTGGAATTCGTTGCCAAAATCTGTAGCAATTTTTTATTGTCTGTCTTAATAATATTTTTAAGGTTGGTGATTGGTAACAAGGCATACTCAATCGGTAACGAATTGTTTTTTTATGCTGCTTTAGCTAAGGTGTCTGATTATTCATTATCTCTTATAACGGAATGTACCTTTCTTTGTAACAGCTTAAGCGTTATGTCTCTTGAAATGAACTTTATTTGGGTCTTACCATACAGCTGGTGAGTATCTCTTCACTTCATTTAACTTTGAAAATTTGCCCTGTTTACATCGTGGTTAATATATTTTAACGTCGCTTCGATTTCTGAGGTCATTAGCGACAACTGTTATTAAATGTGATGGATCAATTTTAAATATTTAAGAGTTGTTTCTATGTCATTTCTTTCTTTAAAGGTGCTGCGTCTTCAATTTTGAATTTAGTTTGTTCTTTTTGATATTTTATACATCGGAAAAGGTGTTACACTGTATGAGATGTACATTGTCACATATATGACTTATTAGTCTTTGCAATTCCAGAAACTGATGTGGGTGAGTTAGTTTGGTATGTCAAATTCTTAGTCTGCTAATTATAGATCATTCTTTTGACGTGAAGTTTTTCGGGGCTGTTCAAGTAATATTTATTTCTCAACAGCAATCTGTTCAGTAGTTCTAATAGTAACTTAAGGTCCTTCAGAACTGTGTTTGTTTTTATTTTCAATCATTGATATATTAAATATATGATAATATAATGTCATCAGCCGATCGCATTACATCCTGAATAATTTCGAATCCAATTTTTAACGGAAATTAACGTCTTAAGGTTTTAAATCTAACCAGTATCTCCGCTTATTTTTTCGGCAAATAGTTTCTTTGTTTAAGTGAAACGTCTTGTTAAAAAGAAAATAATCGTATGAAATTGAAATTGAGTATTCAAAGTTTTAAAAATTTTTGCTAAAATCGATAAACTGAAATTTACAATATCTTTATATCATTGATTTTACATTTTTTTTTTCGAAAACGACCTAAATGGTTTTTATTAAACTCGCTACATCAATCTATAATTTAATATACTTAGCTAAATATTATCTTTATTGAAATTGTCTGACAGGATTGAAAATTCGATTTTTCTAAATTTCTTCCTCTAAAGTTTAAGTAATCTTGTACTTGTACTGCAATTTCGTTAATTTCAAATAATTAACCTTCTTTAAAAATTGATAAATTCATATTATGAAAGAATTTAATATTCAACTAAAGGTGAAAATTTTCCTTGTCGAGTAGAAACTTATTTTCAGAAGAAAATAAGAATAATGAAAATTTAAAACAAATGATAATAAAATATAAAAATAACATATAAACCGATGATATTGCCTACTTTTATGTCATTGAATGGATGAAAAATGTTTTCATGAAAATTATATGGAATTTCTAAAGAATCCAAATAGAAAAATTTAAACATTTATATCAAGATAGAAGCACCAAAAATACAAATTACACAAATTTGTATTGTAGATAACTGGTGTTGCTTATATTTAAAGTTAAGGTTATATTTTTATAGTCTAATTCAGTTAAAATCGATTTTTACTCAAGCGGGAGAATGTTAAATGCAGGGATGCCCAGAAGAGAGCTTCGTAGAGTAATTTGCGCTGTCAAATTTTTTTACGGGGCACATTTTGACGGGATTATGAATTTTCAAAAAGTCTCTTTCGATTTAGCCCAAATTTAAAAAAAAATTGGAGAATAGTATAAAAATGGAGTATTATAGAGTTTCAAATGAATTCGTTCTCGTTGAATCAAATTCTCATGACTCTCGTTAAACCAAATTCAATTCAGCAGTTACCTACCAAAGCATTAGCTCAAGCCGAATCTGTTTGTCAAACAATTTTACGGAAATTGAAACTCTTAAATATTAAAGTGAACAGCTCAAAAACCGATTGTATAGTACTTTCACTTCAAAAAGGAAAAAAAAGTAGGCTACTAAAGATCTTCAAAATTGGAAAAACATCTTAGGCATCGTCTACATGGGCATTAAGCTGGAACGGCATACGAAACTATCAGCCCACATTTACAATAAAGTAAGATCCGTTAGACTGAAAACATATAGACTTCAAAAATTTTTAACTTTCCCAACGCTTTCATTTAGACTTAAATTTGTAATATATAAAAGCATTTTACGATCTACTTTGATGTACGGCGCAGAACTCTTCACGCATCTTACTGACGTTACACTAAAACACATTCAACGATACCAAAACAGTGTATTCAGAAAAATTACTTGGCCAACTTCATTAAAAAAGATTTAAGGTAGATCAGCTGCACGAAGTTTTTGAACTTCCGAACATTCGCTTTTCAATAGACTAATTTTAGCTCCTGCTCCAGTTCGGTGGCAAAGCTCACCTTCTTTTAATCTTAGGTAATAAGTTAGCTAGTAAGTAAGTTAGTTAGTAAGTAGTAATAAGAAACTTATAAACACAAACAATGGGTGACCCCTATCACTTTACTGGTACGTTTAATAATTATTGTTTACAACAAAACATAAATCTTCAATGAATCGATAAGGTCTTAAAATGTAACACAGCTACAGTAAAAAGCGTTCAACACAAAAAATAAGTTATCAAATGTAATAATTTATTCAAATTAATATATTATTGGGGTTAGAAACAGTTTAATAAATTAATAGTCAAAACTCCCAGTTTTTACACTAGTATATGGATGGGATTTCGGTTGTAAAATATAAATGTGATAACATATAGTTATCGAAATTATTACTATTACAGTATTAATTTACTATTATACTTTTTATACTATTATTAGAAAAGTTGTTTCTTGAAAAAAAAAATTAGAATACCGATTTTCCGGTAACATTGAGAAGGATGGTTTTACAATACAAAAATTTGAATTTAAAATTTTCATAGAAGAATGCTCAGACTTGAAACCAGCTCAATCTATTATCCTCTTTGACTGCTCAACCCCTACAGCGCCAGTGGAAGAAACCTACTCTGGTAGACAGGGAATAAGATATAGAGCTGGAGGAGAGAAAGTACTGGAGGATAACAATAGTATCTTAGCGGATCTGATGAGCATGGCGTGAGGAGAGACCCGACAGAAGAAAATCTCCAACGTTATGGCAATTTGTTGTCGAAATAAACAGAGTGAGCTATAATTTTCAAAATTGTCCCAACAGGAATATTTCGAACAGTAAAAGGGAATTCGAAGTGATTTTATAAGTAGCTCACCGAGGTGATAAGTTTTCTCCAATGATACTTAGTAGCTATTGATGACGACTTACAAAAGTGATTTTATTTTCTATACTTTTTTTACACATTCTTAAAAATATGAAAACAATAAAATAACATTTTCAGAAAATTAAAATTTAAAAAATCAATATTAAAAAGAAATTATATGTTGACATTTATTTATTCAGAAAGATGACATTTATTCGTGTGAGAGTTTATAGAACAGTTTGTCCTCAGAATCGAAAATTTCCACTTGATGAAATTCCACTTGGAAATCTGCACAATCTGAAGATTAGCCCTTGATAGTCCATCTTGATTACATCAAATTCCATCCATTACTTCCGCATTATGAAAAATGACTCCTTCGGTTAGGCTCAGTTTGAGAATGGTTGGAGATGAGTGAAAAAGTGGCTTATTATCAATTTTATCAAGTCCCATTTCTTGATTTTGCTTACTGATACGATATTTCAATAAGTACTCATCCGCTTTGACCCAAAGTTGGTGAAAACTATGGTGATGATTTACAATTGGTTTGGTATCAATTTCTATTTGACGTTTAATTTAATATAATTGTTGAGAATATAATGGCAGTGAAAAGTTTTAGGTAGTTAAACACATAACAATTAGAGGCTATATTAGTTTTTAAACTAAATGAGATTTATTAGACGAGTTTCATTACAATATTCCATTTGTTTTAAGAAAATAATATTTATACGTGTTTATCCGGATTTTCTTATTTACCAAAAAAAAAAAAAAAAAAAATATATATATATATATATATATAAGAAAGCTAAACTAATTGTTTGTGATTTTAACATAGTCCTTTTTACTGTTCTTACAATTATTAATGTACCTGTTAACTTTTATTTTTGTATGCTTTAACTTTCTATCTTAATTGTTTTTAACTATTTTATTTTTAATCTTTATTTCTTAATTTTAATTGTTTTTGTTAACATTTATCCTTATAATGTTGAAAATTTAATTTTAAATAGTACTTTTTAACTCTTTCTTTTAATATTACTTTTTAGTTTTTAATTGTATTATTAACTTATTCCAATTTTTAACTTTTAATTTTTTAAACTATAATTTAATTGTACGTATTTATTCAACAGTAACTTTTTTTTTAAATCGATGGCAAACAGCAGTACCACTTTTTATTTATCTGCAGTTTTTTTATTTATGGATAAGTTGTATGCTTGAATAATGAATCGACTAATTCAATTGTAATGTCAAAAAAAAAAAAATGACCCAGATGGTGGAAAAGTAAAAAAAAAATATATATAAATAATACTACTTTAGTAGAATAAAGCTTAGTTTAATTTGGTGTGTGGCGTTGCCAAAAATAAGCTGAAAATATAATCCATATTCTGCTTTCTATAGCCAGCTTTAGTACCATTATGGAAAATAATTCGTAATTAGTACAGATTCTGGAATAGAAGAATTTTGCCGCAAATTATCATATAATGTGAAGTCTTTTCAGAGAATAGGTTTAATTTGTTCAGATATGCATAAGTTACTACAATTAGGTGTAGGTAACAGATATGCATAAGAGGAACGCACATTATGGAGTCTCAAGCGTGAGATGAAGAGACGGGTGCAGAGATAAAACATAAATTGTTGTCTTAACTTTCTTCAAATATCTTCACCACAAAAAGAAGGAATGCTGTTTCTTTCCGGTTTGCGAAAGTTATTTATTCCCTCCAGTGCAAATAGTTTATGATTTAGTTACATACTCAACGTTACGGAGCTCTGCCCAATAATCAAGAATTTTTCTTTTTTTTATTTTGTTCCACACTTTGTTATATAAGTATAAATCCATAATTTATTATATAGTTATAACTTTTAAATATTTGTAAACAATTTCCTGTTTAGGAACATTCTTAAGGTCCTTACATTGTTACATTCAGTGTAACCATTTATGACAATTTAGGAACAATGAAATGAAAATTTCTTATGATGAGGATAAAACAGGGAGGTATTTGACCAAAAAATGTAAAAGTATTTACATTGTGAAGAAGAAATAAGTTTCGCAAATTTAAGATAAACTAGAATCATCCCCTTGAATCTTCCTACGTAGAGTAATTCATCAAAGAGTTAGACTGTGATTATCCCGAAGACTTACCGGTGAGCATGGAGGCGACTCCAGTTTCCCTGAGCAGCCTGACGAACCTGGAGAAGCGACCTTCCCTGTCGGCCTGGAGTGTCTGGAGGATGTCTCCTACCGGGAGCGGGAACATGACCCGGTCGACGCCATGTGCCAGGCCTTGCGGCACCACCACGTCCGCCTTGTCCCTCAAGATCTTAGCTCCGTTGATAGTGGTCACCTGGAAACGAGGTAAGGTTAGTCATTGGCCTTATTCTCATCACGTGACAGAGTTATATGAATAGTATAGATAAAAATCATCATAAATCATAAACGAATGGTACATGATTTAACAGCATTTAAAAATTCAAAAACAAATTACAAGGTATAAGGCAGTGTTTCAAATGATTTTATTCTAAAAATTGATTTTATTTTTAAAAATAGAGAAAATAAAATCGTTAAAAAACAAATTTTTTATTTAAATTAGAGGGAAAATAATAATTGCAGAAAATAAAACTAGGAAAGGAAAAAGGTGAAAATTAAAATAACATTTTAGACAATTATTAAACAATTTAAATTAGTTTTTTTCTGGAATATATTACCAATTCAAGAAAACAAAAATTGGAATAGATTTTATCATTTTTGGAAATTAGAACGAAAACTAATAGCAGCGATCAATAAAACACTTAATTTTTTTATAATTAATAATCCTGTTAATTATATTTGAAAAATATTTGAATCGACTTTAGCTTAAAATTCAACTAAGTTGGGCAAAATCCTCATGTATTGCAAAAAGTTTTCACAGTGATTTATTTTTCAGATCTTTGAAAACGGATCTGATGAGTAAAAAGCCATATTCAATCGATTGTTTTCCCGTGAAAACGAACAAGTTACTTGTCCATTGAGCATTGAGTCATACCTTTGTAGGATTGGGCACGAGCATTCGAGAAGAGATAATCTTCAAAAGAATTCTTGTTATGTTTTATTCTTTTTTGTTTATCATAAAAAAGAAATTAAAATAAACAACTATCCCTGATTCACCTATTGCCTCGAATTTCAATGAGCCGAGTTTTGCTAATGGGTAGTTTCTCTTCATGTTGTACATGTCATGTTACCAATGTCACATTTACTTGTTGTAATTGACATGTAATACAGTTGTAAATTTCATTTCTTATTAGATTGAGAATTTCCAATAACCGTTCAAATTTTAAAATAATCCTTCTTTATCATAAAAAATTACCGTAATTGTAATTTTAATATTTATATAGAAAGGATTCAGGGTTTATAAATTAATCACAAATTTTAATTAAAACAATGGTATAACTAGACACACCTATCAAAATATTCCTCCAGTGGTCATTTATATCAGTAATACGGCTGAATGAGAGGCGCTGGGATATCCTCGAGTCCTGCATTTCCTTTCACGATTGGGGGAAAGACATGGCTCGGAGTTGACCAAAGTGAATGAATTTTTAAAATACTGTATAAAAGTAAATGTGTATTCATGTTGTTATTTATTTAGTTTAGTCTTTTTTTTTTTTTATATAAATTTACTTTTAGCATTATTTTTCTCTTTAATTCATTTTTATTTATTGAGCTTAGAGTGTGAATGAGCTACTCTATCACTATTATTACAGTCCTTAATTGCGACTAAATGTAATATTACTCAATAAAGAAATGTAAAAAAGAAAAAGTATATAGATTTAGTAATTTTGGGTATAAGATTAGAGGATGGGAGTTCTTTTAAAATAGTTGTATGGAGAAAACGGGGTTAAGCATTTAGGTTTTTTTTATTAACGAGTTATTCTACCCAATCTGAAGAAGATATTATTTAATTTAAGATATTAATTATTTAATTGTCTTCCCCTACTCCTTTAAGAATAACCAGTCACTGAATAGAAATGAGACTGATGCCATGTCGGTGACACATGAAGTTGACAAAATTTTGAAAATTGGTGTAAAATTGGCTAATAATAAATAAACTTGAAAATAAATTGTATGCACCGAAGAATAATTGGAGAAATATTGTGGATATTATTTAAGTTAGTAATTTTCATGATTGTACTTGATACATTTTTTGTATTCTGCTCTTTGAAAAAATATCTACTTATGTTTTTATTATATAAAGAAAAATCTATGTGTTTAATTTTCTAGGAAGTCAGCATCTACTTTTTCTTGTGGTTGGTAGGTATTCTGTGTATTTAGCAACCCGATATAATTGGTAAGCACTCTTTTATGAAAATAAAGTATTTCTCTATGACATTCGAACACATCAGCCCGCTCGACCACTCCGCCCCCATATAACTGTGCATTCCAATTCATTCATAAAAGGACGGTCATGTTAAGGATCCTTGGACCGTAGGAAGAATAACTTTCACTGGAAGACGAGCCCTGAGGTCATGTCGTGAATGATAGTAATATTATGGCCATATTGGACAGGTTTGGAAAGCAGCGACCGCTAGTGTACTCCTGAGTCATCCCTTTCCCCGCCATTGGATAAAAAATTACATCGGCTGATAGAGGTGGAGGAATTTCGTCCATAAACCGCACCATTACGAAGAGGCAGACGTGGAAGGGTTTCTTCTTGAATACCTGGCATTCTTCTCGTCTAATGGTCTTTTCCTTATTGTTGATTTATTAAGGTGCGTTGATTACTTTTCTTCTTTACGCAAACCGCAAAAAGCTAACCATAAAACGGACAGAGTTGTGTTGCACAACATTCTCTTCTGTCCCTGTTCAGCGAATTAATTCATCCTACTGTATATTTTCATAGGAATAAAAATTTATTCTTTAATATTTAATCCTAATCATTTTATGATTATGTAATATTTTATAATTTTAAAACATTCGTATATTTGTCACTCAAAATAATTATTTTTCATTATTAAAATTTTATTAAATGAAAAACGCTTTCGCAAATCTTATAAGTTTAGTTTATATAACGCAGTAGGTGAATATTTCTTCAAATAGCTTCATAAATAACAGAAATAAAATAAAATTGAAAAAATGGGTAAAGATAAATATTGAGATTACATCTTTCAATTTTTGTAATTGCTATTAATTATATAATTATTATATTAAAATCAATAACAAATAATTCATAATTAAATCGAACAAAAAAGTAATTATTGTTAGAGAGTATCACATACTCTGCTAAATATAGATATGAGATTTATACCGTTCGTGCGAATGAAAATATCAGATTTTTTTTTAAGAAGATATATGTATAAATTTTCATAAAAATTGTGATTTAAGTCCCTTTGACTAAACTAAGTTTACTGTTCTTATGTCCGATAGCATCATGCATTAGCGCATTTTTTAATAAGCCGAGCTATTTTCATAGTTTTCTTTTATTTTCATCTATAATCTCATTAAATTGGTTAAGCTTTTGGAGATTCCAGACAAAGTCAATTAAACCAGTCTACACATCTGATTTTCACAGATGTTTTAAAAAAAAAAATTGTAGTGACCTATTTTCGTACAGTATTAGATTTATTTTTCACGTCTTGAATTCCATTTAATCGTTTTCTATTTCTAGAAATCTGAATAAGTTTGTCCGAACTTTGAATCATTGCTTATCCAACTGTATTTTTTATCACCTCCATATTTTTCCCATAACTCTTCTTTAATAGGTATTCAAATCGGTCTGATATCATGAATTTGAAATTATTCACGAATTAACAGTTGTTTCGTTACTTGCTAACAACCGATGAATAAAATCTTACTTTGACTGAAACATTTATTTTCTCTCAGAAAACAATTTTACATCGTAAAACATAAAAAGGTGCGTGAAACTATTCAAACATTATCCTATTTTTAAGCTTACTCATGTTGCTAGAACGGAAAAACATTGGTAAGAACCTATAACATCCGGACATTGTTTATTTATGAGGGCCACATATCTATTGTTGGTGGAAACATCGATGATTTTTTTTTTTAGTTCCTTCCTTTGACGGCAGTGAACCGTGAGCGAGTTATAGCGGTAGGAAAAGTTTTGGACCGGTTTTCCCAGCGGCAGATCGGAGATAGTGAAACATTTCTGATGAAGGAGCGATATGGTCCGAAGAAACTTTCGACAAAAGATAAAGATGGTGAGATAGGAATTTCTTCTATGGGTTCGGAGTGAGTGTGCTGTTCGGGTGGGCCTTTGTAGTGGGTCCTAACTGTCGGCACCAATGTCGAATGTCGTCCCTGAGGTAACAATGTCCGCTCACTCCGGGAAAGTGCAAGTTTGTGTGAAGATGTGTGAGTGTGATGCAATGGCAATGGTTGAATCTAACCGACTATTTACTCAATCATTATTTAATTGCGATACTCATAATTTTGATTACATTTGCAAGAAATTAAAGGCTTCTTTTTTCGTCAAAATTTTGGTTATTTAAAGCTCGAGATGAAAGACACATCCCACTTTATACACCACTTATTTTCATATTTGAAATCAGCATTGCAGCAAAATATCTATATTAAATTCAAAATTGATTACTCATCCGTTATTATTTGAACAAGCAGCCCTGATGAAGGCCTGAAAGTTGGGAGCCGAAACTTCGGTAAGTAGAAAATATTATTATTACGACGCCACGGCCCTGCAAGAGCCCGGGCCTCCTCTACTACAGTTAACCAATCTCCACTGTCTTGTGCTATTTTCCTCCATCTTCGAACGACCAGCCAGCTCAGATCGTCCACCACATCCTGCAGCCATCTGATCCTCTTTGACATTCTTTGATCGATCATTCTTTCATTATGGGCATCTAACTAACTGATTCTGTCTCTTTTTATCAATCCCACAATATCAGATTCACCATAAAGTTCTAGCATCTCCTCATTCTTTCTTCTTCTCCAGATTCCATTTCAAAGATTCCGCCCCGTATACTTCTCAATACTTTTCTCTCCCAGGAGTTGAGCGTGCGTTCTGAGTTTTTGGTTAAGGTCCAAGTCTTACATTCATTCAAAATCACTGGTCTTATTATGGTTTGGTAGATGAGGATTTTGATTCTTTTAGAGAGTGATCTGAATTTCAAGTCTCTTTGCAGTGAGTAATAGCTTGAAGGATTTGAATTCAATTTTTAGTAATAATTTCTTGGTATTATTTTATTTATTTTTCACACTACGTCTCAGACTTTTAGGCAATTTCAATGGAATAAAGTGTCACTTTTTTTTATATAATACAGTAGTAGTAATAATTACAGGAGGAGTTTATGTGGTCCCTGGCAGTTTAAATTTTAGTAACCTATATAATGGTGC